GGGACAAGTGGGACACAATGTTTACCCAGGTTCGGGCCCACATAATGGAGGTAAAACCCTACGTCCTACTTGATTGTATTTGATGAATATAGGGGTTACAAGAGTTGATCTTCCTCGAGATCGTAATGGCTAAACCCTAGCTGTCTAGCCTATGAGAATTCTGATAGCCTCTACGGACTAAACCCTCCGGTTTATATACACACCGAAGGGACCTAGGGTTGTATAGAGTCGGTTCGTGGGGGAAGGAAACAACATATCCGGACACCAATCTTGCAATCCACACATAGGGGAGTCCTACCCAGACACAAGGGGAAAGTCTTCTACTTGTATCTTCACAGCCCATCAGTCCGGCCCGTATCAATAGCCCGGACACCCGAGGACCCCATAATCCAGGACTCCCTCAGTATCCCCTGAACCAGTCTTCAATGACGATGTGTTCACCATGCGGATTGTCTTTGGCATTGCAAGGCGGGTTCCTTCTCCTGAACACTTTAAAACAATTCCCTGAACAAAGGAACTGTATCTGGCTCTGTATAATTGACACAACCCTTAGCCACGAAGGCAAGATATCCAAATAAAACAATGTCTTTTTACTGGCAACTTTTTCGACGAAGCATCACATCTGGCTCTTTAACATTTCAAACCGTTTTCACGCCTCCCCGCTTCGCGTTTCGAGGCACAGCCTCCATTGGCACGTCTTGTTGAAACAGAGATCATGCCTGCCCATTGCGGGATCTTCATCAATACAGTTTTGGGTAATCCAACCGTGCCATTTGCACAATCTCTTTGGGAACGGGCGGGTTTTAAGGCTTGAGAGGGGGGCGTTTGGTATTTCACCGCCTATATAAGAGGGCAAAGATTCCTCCTTTTCCCCCAACGCCTTTCTCCTAGCTCTTGCCTTCCCTTCCTCTGAGTTCCAGCGCCCAAAATCTCAATCTTTCCCACAGCCACCAACCTCCCCAGCCATACCTGGATCCGGCTCCAAGGGCAAGTGGGAGGCCTCCTCCGTCACCGAGAAGGACATCAAGGAGCTCTGGGGCGCGGGTTATCTTTCTGCGAATATCACGCACAGGCTCCCTGCCAAAGATCAAGTCATCCCCACTCCGGAGCCCAGCGAGAGAGTCGTATTCATCCCTCATTTCCTCTGAGGGCTAGGGTTTCCCCTTCATCCTTTGTTCGAGGTCTCATGTTCTATTACGGGCTAGATTTCCATGATATAGCCCCAAATCCCTTCCTCCACATATCGGCGTTTATCGTCGTGTGCGAGGCTCTCCTCTGCATCCCCCCACTTCGGCCTATGGCTCAAGGTCTTCAATCTGAAGCTGAAGGTGGTCGACGGGTATCATGCGGCTTGCGGCGGAGCTATGGTAAGAAAGGTTCCCAACGCCATCTTGCCCAAGGGGGCTTTTGGGGAAATAGTCAAGGTGTGGCAGCAGGAGTGGTTCTACATCACCGAACCCCACGACGTCAAGTGGGCGACCATACCTGACATCAGACCCAGTACCCCTACGAGACACACCTCGTGGGACGCCAAGGGTCTTGATTGGGGGTCTCAACCGGATGTCATGATGCTACAAAAGCACATCTCGAATGTGTTGGGTAAAAACACTAGCCTCACAAACGTGATCCAAGTGATGCTCTTCCGCCGTGTCCTCCGCTGCCAACTCCGGGCCTCCCCTATGTGGGAGTTCAACCCGGAAGAACCACGGACCTTGAAGCGCTTCTTCGGCACCATGCACGAAGATATATGTAAGCATCTTTTCAAGGCCCAAAAGAATTGGCCGATGAAGACTGAAGACATCGGACTCGACAACGAGAACCCGACCTCGATGGTAAGCATAACCTTTCCAAAGACTTTAGTTGACTAATGCTTCGGATGATGATGAAGATTTACATTATCCCTTTTTCCATACAGGGCTGGACGGCGAAGGCAGAGCGGATCAACTGTCCGGCGCCGCTGCTGGAGAACCCGGCCACCCCCAGCTATCGAAGATGCTGGTCCCGGCAGCGTATCAAGCACCGGAGAAGAAGGCCAAGAAGAAGAAGGGCAGGGAGGCCAAGGACAACCCCCGCGACAAGCGTTCTGCGGACGCTGTGTCCGGAGAGACCGAAGCCGCCTCCTCCCATGAGGAAGATCAGGAAGAAGAAGAAGAGGAGGTGGAAAGCGACTCCCCCTGCAAGGGGAGGAAGAAGAAGAGGGTGTCCTCCGAAGACCCGAATGGGGAGGCGTCAAAGAGGGGAAAGATGGTCGTCCAGGACAGTTCGGATTCAGATACCGAACTGGCCCCCAAGAGGCCACCCAGGGCAAAGCCCCTAGCCGAATCGTAAGTACTTATGTACTCACTGTTTATCTTCTGTTTTCCCTTTCTATTTTCATTATATAAGTTATTATGCGCCTTTCAAACCTCCCCGCTACCTCCCGAATACTTCGCTATCGGAGGGGAGTTCTCTGCCACCTGAGATGGTAGAAAGTGAGACGCCGCCGCGAGCCCCCTCGCCTATCGCTGTGGATGACACCGAGGTGTTATCCCGAAGGACCTCTCCTAGCCGCGGAGGGGCGGGCGAGGCTATCGAGAAAGCGCCCGAGGGTAATACCTCGGTTGCGGAAGACATAGGGGAGGCTACCCCTATGGCAACCGACGGTGAAGACCGTCGGCAATCCGGGCCCTAGCCGGATACTCTCTGGAAGACCAATCTGGCTCCGGGATCAGGCGAGCAGCCCCGGTCGAAGGAGGGGGGAGCATCAGCTCCATCGGCGACCTCCACAAATCCTGAGGCGTCAAACACTCTAGTGGAAGCACTGCAACATGCTTCCATCATGGAGGAGCACCGCACCCTGATGGGTGCGGTGGTAGAGAAGGTTCAGTCCGCCAAAAGTGGACTGAACGAAGCTTTTACCAGCCTACTGACATGCTTCAAGGTATGTGACGTAATGCTCTAAACGCTTTTTTCATATAAAGGAATATACCTGTGTATAGATAGCAGCCCCTGAGACTCTGCCTAGTTTTGAGAAAAGCTGGACAAAGGATCCACATAGTATTCGAAAGAGCTAACATATTTGTCTATCTTGTAACAGGCTTCCCTGTTGGCGGCAACCGCCCAGGCCGCCGAAGTTTCCGGACTCAATCGGAAACTGAAAGTGGCTGATGATGAAATCGACCGCATCAACAAGCGGGTCGACGAGTTTGATCATATATCAGAAGTGATATGCATAGTCAAAGATGAACTCATGTAATGCTTTTGTTTATGGGCATAGTTGGTGCAGCCGAGGTCGAGACCCTCAAAGGCACCCTTGCCCAAGCCCAAAAAGAGGCGAATGCATACAAGGCAGCCACTGACAAAGCGACTGCAGAACTGAAGACCGAACAGGCCGCCCGCCGACAATACGGAGCTCGGGTGGCCGAGGTAGAGCAGGAGCTAAAGGACGCCATCCTAAAGTGCGAGGGTTTGGAGAAGAAGGCTTCGGCTCAATCGTCCGAACTTGCCAAAGCTCTCCAAGATGCTACGGATTCCTCTTCTTACTCAAGCCCGCTTATCTTCTTCCTCGCGCAATTCTCGGCCAACCCAGCCCTAACCACCTGTCTCCACCCCCACCCCCACGTTAAGTTTCTTACTCGGTCCCGCTGGCTATTTTTGGCTCCCACTCGTACATACCTCGGCTTCGTCGTGGCTGATGATCCTTGCGTCATCCCCGTCTTCGACCTCGCGCTTCGCAGGTAGCTGACAATTAGCAAACATGATGTTTGTGTGATTTGATTAACAAGTGATGTTGCTGGCGCTTTTCTTTTGTTTTGTCACATGGATGAGCACACACAGTAACACATGTGAATGTGCAACCAATGTGTCAAGAACCAGTGACGGACAAGCTAAGCAAAGCAAATGAACGACAAAAAGGCCAGTTACCATATCAGGTGTAACCTATCCTGCTACGTTTGTCTAAAGAGATGTATAAGCATGTTTTCGGTATTACACCTGCCCTACTCCATGACAGCACTCGCACGATTCAGCCATCCGGTTAACCTCCGTTTCATGTCGCTCAATAATGGCTCGGACACAGACACCACTTGCAACACAACCATCACCAACACGTTTGTCAAAATGAAAAGATTTTAGAACGTGACACATGTGGTAAGCAATCAAACTATTCAAAAGATGAGAAGATTTTTTAAAAGCAATAGAGCACCTATGGGTGCAGTGAACCGAGGAGCAATTGTGGCAAAGCAACAGCCTCACGATACGTAGCGTAAGCATGAATCTTCTTTCTGAAGCCTACAGACCAAAAGTCGTGCATGCATCATCAGCAATATCGGGTTTATGCCGATCCTACATATAAACCCTGGCCAAGCATCTGTTGGTTCTGTGCATGGTCTATTTATTAAAGCTCGTCAAAGGTTTCAATTATAGTTGTATTTTTCTTCTTATATTTTCTCTCTTTTACTGTTCCTGTTGGCTTCATCTATTCATCTTTTCATGTGTCATTTCTTTCTTTCTTTTGCCTTTTTATCATCAACTAACTTGTTTGCTATTTTTAATTTGCCACTAACTACCATCATGAAATGTTCCAACAAGCTTTTTTCTGTTTAATAGTTTTATATCCTAATAATTTCCAGTATACTTTCAATGGTGAGTGATGTAGTAATATTTTAGTTGAAAATAAAAGATTGTAAAATTTCCCTGACTTCTGTAAAAATGTGAAACATTTTCTCCAAGAAATATTCTACACTAGCATGGCTAAAATTTCAACAATCAATCTAAACATTTTCCTCTGATAGTGAAACTTTTTTCAGTTAGGTGTTCCGTTTCCATGTGATATATCTACTGTAAATTACTAAATATTTTATATGAAAATGTATCATAACTTTACTTTTAGTTCATTAATAGTATGGACATATTGTATGTTCAACCTCGATTTGTTCTTCTAGTAACTTTTTTGGTGGCTTATGGTGTTCAAGTTTTCCCTTTCGTGATTCGGTCTTATTAGGACATTAAAATCTAGATATTTATATTTTACTTCTTGATATGAAGACTGAATCTGGATTTGAAATTATATCATTTTGAAACCCAATAATTGTCTGCAACATAGTACAAATTTTCATTGTTATCACACTACTGAACTTCATACTATGCTATATTACTCAAATCATTATTCATTACTCAAGCAACTGTGATACATCCATGTATATGAATTTTTTATCTAGATAGATTCCAGGTTTGGTGGTAGTCATCCACATACATAACACTGGCATCCCTCGGGTATGCACTTGGGAGATGGGCCACCGGGTGGGGGGATGAACTTTTTGCAGTACGCTCGGCAATCATTGTTGTTACAATGTCCCTTTTTGAGGATATGGTTGCATACTGGCTTAGAAGTTGCCATAGCTGTATACCAAAAGGAAGATATTGTATATTAGATCAGTTATGAAATATATATACATACGTTAGAAATTCCACGCCTTACTAGTGTAGATAACTAGGCACTAGAGTTCATGGTATTGACCGACTAGATACCTGACGATAGTATCAAGAAGGCAAATGCCAGGAATAGGATTTGTGTGCTCCTCATTTCTTCTTACAAACTTAATTAATGCTAGGATTGAGTAGCTACAATGGCGTTTTTGTGATCTTTGGGCGGTTGAGTGTGGTACTCAATGGCAAATGATGCTCCTTTTATAATGGGCAGAGAATAAGATAAGGACACATTAATTGCAACTGATTAATATTTCCCTCAAAAAGAGCAATTGATTTATTAATATGATTCGTGGTGAAGAAAGGACCAATATTATTAATTAACTTCTATAGAATGGCGAGTCAGATATGGACGTCATACCATTTCTCGATCAACAGCCATCAGATCAAGCAGAAAAAACCACAAAAGCAGATTTTCATCCATAATTTAAACAAGATTTTTTCCGTCAAGATTTTTTCTTTGAACATCAGTACAGACGCAAGCGCTCATACATACACGCATACACTCACCCCTATGAACGCACACACGTACACCCTACCCCTATGAGCACCTCCGAGAGACTGAGCCGACATGTCATCTTGAAATTTACGAAGTCACCGTAGGCGTCTCGTCGTCGATGGGAACGTCTCATCCCACTAAAAGCGCATCGCTGGAAATCCTGAAATTAATCCAGAAATAATGCGGGCACCAGAACTTGAACCCTATGTGCTGAGAATACCACAGTCCTTCTAACCATCCAACCAGAGAATCTATAATAAAGGTATAGCATATGTTCCAGTTTCCACCGTATTATTACGGAATGTTTTAGCTAAAAGGAAAAGAGAAACAACACCAAATGGATGGGGCTTGCCTGCTCCTCCCGAGTCATACTCCCATTTGTGCTCCCAGCAAATCCAGCGACGCACAGCATGCCGACTTCGTTTCCTTTGAAATGAAAAAACCAGCAATCCCTCCATCTATTTCCTCTAAAATAAACTGCAAGAACAATAGAAAAAAGAATAGCAAGAACCAGACCGATCGTGCTTTAGACCAACTCCAACGCGCGACCCCATCTTGTCTGCCCGCGTCTGTTTGGGCAAAAACAGACAGATGACACGACCCAATGCGCGGCCGCATCCTCAAATTAAGCCCGTTTGGCGTCTGGCCCATCCCATTTCTGACACAAACATGTGCTTGTTTGCATCCACACGGACGTCGAACGAACAGGTACACACTTGCGTATCGTCTGCCTCGGGGACATGTGGCAGCCGCCAAACTACCTCCACCGCCCAAACTAAGTGCGCACACATGGTGGGCCTCGGCTGTCATGCACACATCCTGCAGTCGTCGTCCTTCTTAAATTGGAAGCCATGGACCGGCCAGTCCACAGTTTCCACTTCCTGGCCAGCCCAGACAAGCAAACCCTAGCTCTCCACCTCTTCGGCGGTGACAATGGTGGGGCGATGGTTCCCCGTCCTCAATACGAGGCACGGCAATGAGGCCGGGTCATCGCTCGCCGTCGCCGTCCCTCCACCTCCACCTCCGTCGCCCGTGTTTCATATCGTGTCGGGCGGCTGATACGTCTCCAACGTATCTATAATTTTTGATTGTTACATGCTATTATATTATCAACCTTCGATGTTTTATATGCTATTTTATATGATTTTTGGGACTAACCTATTAACCTAGAGCCCAGTGCCAGTTTATGTTTTTTCCCCTTATTTTAGAGTATCACAGAAAAGGAAAACCAAACGGAGTCCAGTTGACCTGAAACTTCACGGAACTTATGTTTGGACCAGAAGAAGCCCACGGAGTATCGGAGTTGGACCAGGAGAGTCCCGGGCTGCCCACGAGGGTGGGGGGCGCGCCCACCCCCCTGGGCGCGCCCCCCTGCCTCGTGGACAGCCCGGAGGTCCACCGACGTACTTCTTCCTCCCATATATACCCATATACCCTAAAAACTTCGAGGAGCACAATAGATCGTGAGTTCCGCCGCCAGAAGCCTCTGTAGCCACCGAAAACCAATCTAGACCCATTTCGGCACCCTGCCGGAGGGGGGAATCCCTCTCCGATGGCCATCTTCATCATCCCGGTGCTCTCCATGACGAGGAGGGAGTAGTTCTCCCTCGGGGCTGAGGGTATGTACCAGTAGCTATGTGTTTGATCTCTCTCTCTCTCCCCCCCCTCTCTCTCTCGTGTTCTTGAGGTGGTACGATCTTGATGTATCGCGAGCTTTGCTATTATAGTTGGATCCTATGATGTTTCTCCCCCTCTACTCTCTTGTAATCGATTGAGTTTTCCCTTTGAAGTTATCTTATCGGATTGAGTCTTTAAGAATTTGAGAACACTTGATGTATGTCTTGCGTGGGATACCTGTGGTGACAATGGGGTATTCTATGATCCACTTGATGTATGTTTTGGTGATCAACTTGCGGGTTCCGTGACCTTGGGAATCTATGCATAGGGGTTGGCACACGTTTTCGTCTTGACTCTCCGGTAGAAACTTTGGGGCACTCTTTGAGGTTCTATGTGTTGGTTGAATAGATGAATCCGAGATTATGTGATGCATATCGTATAATCATACACACGGATACTTGAGGTGACATTGGAGTATCTAGGTGATATTAGGGTTTTGGTTGATTTGTGTCTTAAGGTGTTATTCTAGTACGAACTCTAGGGTTGTTTGTGACACTTATATGAATAGCCCAACGGATTGATTGGAAAGAATAACTTTGAGGTAGTTTCGTACCCTACCATAATCTCTTCGTTTGTTCTCCGCTATTAGTGATTTTGGAGTGACTCTTTGTTGCATGTTGAGGGATAGTTATATGATCCAATTATGTTATTATTGTTGAGGGGAACTTGCACTAGTGAAAGTATGAACCCTAGGCCTTGTTTCAACGCATTGCAATGCCGTTTGTGCTCACTTTTACCATTAGTTACCTTGCTGTTTTTATATTTTCAGATTACAAAAACCTTTATCTACCATCCATATTGCACTTGTATCACCATCTCTTCGCCGAACTAGTGCACCTATACAATTTACCATTGTATTGGGTGTGTTGGGGACACAAGAGACTCTTTGTTATTTGGTTGCAGGGTTGTTTGAGAGAGACCATCTTCATCCTACGCCTCCTACGGATTGATAAACCTTAAGTCATCCACTTGAGGGAAATTTGCTACTGTTCTACAAACCTCTGCACTTGGAGGACCAACAACGTCTACAAGAAGAAGATTGTGTAGTAGACATCAAGCTCTTTTCTGGCGCCATTGCCGGGGAGGTTAGCGCTTGAAGGTATATCTTTAGATCTTGCTATCGAATCTTTTTTGTTTCTTGTTTTAGCACTAGTTTAGTTTATAAAAGAAAACTACAAAAAAATGTGGAATTGAGTTTGCCTCATACGCTTCATCTTTTTAATATCTTTCGTGAGTATGGTGGACAGGGAAATTGTGCCAAAGTGTTAGAAGAAGAAAGCATTAAAATGTTTGGCACTAAATATTTGAACGATGAGCATGATTGCAATGTTGTTAGTATGAATTTCTTGAATATCCATGATGCTAATGATATGCAAAGCCACAAGCTTGGGGAAGCTATGTTTGATGAAGATGATATTTTTTGTCCCCCAAGTTTTGATGAGCAAATTTATAATGATGATAGCATGCCCCCTACTTATGATGATTATATTGATGAAAGTGGGTTTGTAAGAGTGTCAACTTTAGGAAGTAATGATACCACTATTTTGGAGGTTGTTGAATCTTATTATGATAATTATGAAAGTGGATTTGAAGAGGTCATGACTTTATTTAGTAATGATTCCACTATCTTGGAAGAGGTTTCAATCGATTATGATGAGAACAAAGTTGCTACTTATGATAATTATTGTGATGATACATATGCTATAAAAAGTACAGATGATTATATTTATAAAACTTGTCATGATTTTGATTACCCTTTTTTTGAAAATTAATCTTTTAATGTGGAAACAATTTATAATATTCAAGTCTCTTATGATACTCCCACTATCCCGAATGAGAAGAATTTTGCTTATGTGGAGAGTAGTAAATTTTCTATGCTTGTAGATCATGAAAAGAATGCTTTAGGTGCTGGTTATATTGTTGAATTCATTCATGATGCTACTGAAAATTATTATGTGGGAGGAATATATGCTTGTAGGAATTGCAATAATATCAAGTTTCCTCTCTATGTGCTTAACATTATGAAGTTTTGCTTGTTTTGCCTTCCTATACTAGTTGATTATTGTTCCCATAAGTTGTTTGCTCATGAAATCCCTATGCATAGGAAGTGGGTTAGACTCAAATGCGCTAGTCATATTCTTCATGATGCCCTCTTTATGTTACAATTCTTATCTTTTATGTGAGCATCATTGAAATCATCATGCCTAGCTAGGGGCGTTAAACGATAGCGCTTGTTGGGAGGCAACCCAACTTTATTTTTGTTCCTTGCTTTTTTTCCTGTTTAGTAATAAATAATTTATCTAGACTCTGTTATGGTTGTTTTTTTGTGTTTAATATGTGTTTGTGCCAAGTAGAACCTTTGGGAAGACTTGGGGAAAGTCTTTGCGATCATGCTGTAAAAAACAGAAACTTTAGCGCTCACGAGAATTGCTACCAGTTTTTATTGGAGAGTGCTATTGAGTTAATTATTTTTGCAGATGATTAATAGACAAATTACCCAGGTTCACCAATTTATTTTAGAATTCTATGAGTTCCTGAAGTATACGTTTGATACAGATTACTACAGACTGTTCTGTTTTTGACAGATTCTGTTTTCTATGTGTTGTTTGCTTATTTTGATGAATCTATGAGTAGTATGGGAGGGTATGAACCATAGAGAAGTTGGAATACAGTAGATATTACACCAATATGAATTTATAATGAGTTCACAACAGTACCTAAGTGGTGATTTATTTTCTTACACTAACGGAGCTTACGAGTTTTCTGTTAAGTTTTGTGTTGTGAAGTTTTCAAGTTTTGGGTGAAGATTCGATGGACTATGGAATAAGGAGTGGCAAGAGCCTAAGCTTGGGGATGCCCAAGGCACCCCAAGATAATATTCAAGGACAACCAAAAGCCTAAGCTTGGGGATGCCCTGGAAG